AAATTACGGTTGTACCCCTGATGTCACATGGATTATTTTACAGATCTCCTTGCTACGTCTCTGGACTTGGGAACATTTCAGTTGTATTGCTGTCTATGCAGGGTCAGACAGCTCTCAGATTCCACCAAAATATCTTAATTTGTGTTCCGAAGATGAACGAAGGTCTTACGGATTTGAAACGACTTGAGGGTGAGTAATTAATGACAGAATTTTCCTTTTTGGGTGAACTATCCCTTTAATAATATGAATGAGACAAAATGAGGCCAAATTAAATAATAATTTACTAAGATTAACTAAGTAATTGAGATAAAAAGTCAACATATGACATACTAAGCCATAATCATGAAACAAAAAGTTGAAATTATGACATAAAATGATCGAAATGGTGCTGATACCCTTGTGGGCAGTGCGCCGACATACAGGGCTGTTGTGCTATGGGCGTCCCGAGTTTGAATCCTGCCCCCCTCTCCCTCTCAATTCACTTCCTGTCAACTCTAAACTATCCTATCACAATAAAAGGCAAAAATAACTCTTTAAAAAATAAATAAAATGATTAAAATTAAAAGACAAAACCATGACATTAAAAGTCAAAAAATGACAAATTTAGTTAAAATAGTCAAATTAAGACATAAGACAGAATCATTAGATAAAAAGTCAAGATTGAGATCTCGACTCTCCAAAACTCCTTCATAGCTTGCCATCAAAGTGGTCACATATTGGCCAGAACTCAAAGCTTTTTAGTTCCTGTTTGCTGTCTTGTTATGCACTCAGTCAACAACGCAACAGGAATAAAAACACGGAGAGGCAGAATGTTCCCGTGGTTTTATGCAGCCGCTCTCTCCGGGTTTGGAAATGTTCCTGGCATCTGACTCACAGTGCTCTTCAACTCTTGCCGTGCGCTCATGAGTAACTTATCCCAGCTGATAAATTTCCACATACTACCGTAGATCAGCTCCAAATCATGCGCAGGTCACCTCGTGCTAGAGAAAATATTTGATGCAAATACGAGCTCTGTCGTTTTTCATGAATTGCATGAAAGAATAAAAGTTACACAAGCGCTGAGGGTAAACACAAAAGTTAAAAATTTAAATTAATATGCAAATTTAGTTCTCCTTCAGTCAATAAATGATCAAACACACAGGCTTCTGTAGAATCATGGCAGTATTTCCTCCCGCCAACTGCTGACCATGTGATCAAGGGGCCCTTGAACTTTGAAACCTTTGCTCCAAATGCAGAGGAAAACAAGCCACGGCTTTGATGTTCTCAAGTTTTTTCGTTGGCTTTCAAGGCCAAGCGTTTATTGTAGTAACACCTGTCGAAGTGTAAAATATACAGCACAATTCAGTTGCATTAGCGATATGCTGTATATAAACTGAAATGAACCTCATGCAAACAATGTGCTACTGATTTGCTGTATCAGAAGTACTTAAGTGCAGATTTATTATGACTGCTGTCAAGCCGGACGTCTAAGAAAGCAAAAAGCCATCTGAAAGAGAGTTCAAGAGACAACACACTGAATCAGAAGTACATAAGTGGTCTTCACATTTTATTATCTTACGACACAAATTTTCAAATATACATGATAATGGGTACTGTTCTCTCGATTCACTGTATTTTACAGTTATTTACTGTTGGAGCATATCCAAAATAAGAGAAACAAAGCCCCAGACAATTTTACCCAATCATAGAAAATATTCTCCAGAGACACAGCAACACATAAAAGACAACAAGACGAGGAAGGAATCATTGTTTTGATTTCATAAAATTCACACTGTCCAAAAAAAAAAAAAAAAAAAAAAAGTCTAGTGATGCAAATAAGCCTCTGAAATAAAATTGAAATAAAAAAAAGGAAAACATTGAAACATGAGTGCAAATTTCTTTGGAGGCTGGAAAACATTTAAGACATAAATATGTTAAAAATATAGCCTATCAAATCAAAGACAAACAAAAGAAAGGCAGACGACTGACTTCAAGTAGGAGATCCCAGAAAGTGGAGGGTTCATGGGAAACACCCAAAACAGCTCTCATTTCTTTCTCTGGAAAACATTCGCCAGCATGGCACCTGAGGTGGTCAGCTGGCCCATCTTACTTAGAAACTTGGTCTTTGCGTCCTCACCCACCAGACTTGCTGCAATAGAGATGGACCTGAAAAGAGACATCACCGCATTCATAGGTCAGAATCCACCCACCAATCAAGGGTCGTATAAGCACCAGCTGCTGATACAGTGGGGAAAATATTTATTTGATCCCCTGCTGATTTTGTAAGTTTGCCCACTTACAAAGAAATGAAGGGTCTGTAATTTTTATGGTAGGTTTATTTTAACGGATAGAGACAGAATACCAACCAAAAAATCCAGAAAAAACACATTATATAAAGGTTAGAAATGGATTTGCATTTCAGTGAGTGAAATAAGTATTTGATCCCCAAGCAAAACATGACTTAGTACTATTTTTGTGAAAATTGTGAGTGACACGTTTTTTTCTGGATTCTCTGATAATTTTTTCATTTTTTTGCAATATATTAGTTGTACATCTAATATGTCCGTTGTCACATTTTGGCAGATTGGGTGTGAATAAAACTTTGCAAGGTCATGCAAAAGAAATAACACATAGTTATGTGATGAACGGAATCATTTTGAGTGAAGATTTTACCACCATCTCTGTTTTATGGTTAAAAACACTCAGTAAATAAATCACTTTGTCTTTCGCATCTTTTTTTACATCTTGCTCTTGAACTTGTTTCCCCTAAACATTCACGCTATAAATGTCACCCGCCCAACTAATTAAATATAAAGATCCCAGAACAACCCACACCATTTGTGAGAGGCAGACTCAACTGATGTATCATGACTTGTAGTGACAGTCACAATCATAGACTTCACTGCAGTTATAAAGTTCGAACATTTATAAATATCTCAACAAAACCACTGGAAGCGTTGCTACGATATCAACTGTGAAATTTAAAAGACAAGTGCTGTTTATAATCAAGCCACATCTTTGGGTTAAAGGTTTTAAAGAGTGCCACACGTGTTCGCAGGCTGGGTATGTTTCGTTTTGGAAACCTCAGTTAGAGAGAGTCCTTAGCAAGCAAAAATCTTGACTGTACATACCCTCTCACTTCTTCACAAAGTCATTTAACTCTTGAAAATTGCAAACTTCAGCAAATAAAAATCCATTGTGCATATTATACTACGTTTTATATAAGGAAAAAAACAGTCAGCACCAAATTTGGAGTGGAAATATTAAATAAATAACAGTGTATGTGTCCATGTAGCTTTACACAGCTGCTATAAGTGTAATATGAAGCAGCAGTACCATTGGCCTACAAGTACAGCCCAAATGGAGCGGGTTTGCAATAATTATGTGGCTAAACCAGTGGCCTGCAATGCCTGATGGGAACTATCTAGCAGTGGAGACACTGAGTCAAACCCAAGCTGAACTCAAACAGATAAATCGTTGAGGAAATTAACATGCGCAAAGCATTCCTGAGTACGTGTTCTTGAGAACTCTTGTAAAATTATTAATTTTTTCTCCGCTACTAAATGAGCACTTGTTCGCTTGTTTTGTTTTGTGGCCAGGGAGTTATTTAAACTAAAACAGGAGAAACAGACACTGTATTCATTAGATTTTCCTCTTAGTGATTTGAGGCTTCATTTGCAGTAAATAAGAACACTAAACATGGTGACTGTATGAATGAAATGAATGAGTTTGTCTTCTCACCCTTGTGCCTCTCCAATGCCTTTGTTCTCCACCTTTATTTCACACTCCTTTATCATGGAACTGAGAATAACCTAAAGGACAAACGGGAAAAGAGGGAGTATTCTTAGAGCACTGCTGGGAAGTCTGACATACACGCAGACACACGCACATCAGCTGGACATTACTAGGCAAAGGAAATTAAATAAATAGAAATTGGGTTACACGACATGCGGCGTGATAAAACGTTAGGACGACAAGACTAGACCAGGCTTTGGAAAAGCACACAATGTTATGGGTCTGTATTTAATTAAGAATTATAGGTGGTGGTTGTTGTAGTTGTGTCATACAATTCAATTCAAGTTTATTTGTATAGCGCTTTTCATGATACAAATCGTTGCAAAGCAGCTTTACAGAAAATTAAGTTTCTACAATATATTTAGTAGTAGCTTGTCAGTGGTGACTGTCAAATTGATGTACATATGGCAGAAATGTACGGTAAAATTCAGTTAATGACGTAATCAACAGACGATAAACACTATTAAAGGGTTAGTTCACCCAAAAATGAAAATTCTGTCATTAATTACTCACCCTCGTGTTGTGTGGCGGCACCGGTGTTGTGCCGAATTCTGCACCCCTGCCAGATTATGCAGGGTGTAAATTTCGGCACTACACCGGCGCTGACCCAGATCCGGCGTGATGACGTCATGATACTGTCGTGAACACGTGTCCACAAGTGACGAAAATGTGGAATAAAGTCGTTATTTTTGTTTTCTTTGCGCAAAAAAGTATTCTCGTAGCTTCGTAACTTTACAGTTGAACCACTGTCGTCACACGGACTACTTTGTCGATCATCTTGGTATTTTTCTGGACCTTGAACGTGGTAGTTACCTTGCTGTCTATGGGAGGGTCAGAGAGTCCTCATATTTCATCAAAAATATCTTAAATTGTGTTCCGAAGATGAACGAAGGTCTTACGGGTTCGGTAAAATTCAGTTCATGACGTAATCAAACAGACGATGAACACTATTAACAGCAATGATTATATGTTGCAATCAAACTTGTAGCAAAATTTGGTAGTTTATGTTGTTTCAGGGTGGGCATACAGACATGACAAAGAAACAATTATGAAAATGTTTTTTTGAAATCTTGATTTAATACCTCATGCTCCGGAGAGAGCTGCTCCATATCTGTCCTCAAACATCTCAGTCCAGGGAGGAAATGATTCACCATGAGTTCTTCAGAAATAACTAAAGCCCCGGAGTTAAGAGAAGACTGTCAAACATACCTGTGAAATATACACGTCTACCCATCTACAGTTCAGTATGCATACTTGGGGAGAAAAAAAATAATTAAATAAATATACGGAGTGTCAATTTACACTAAGTGCAAATAGCCCGCCTTGTTGGCAGAGGCTATTTACACTAGCTCCGCCAACCAATGTGTGATTGGGGTAGTCAACACTACAAAAGACGACCATCAAACATCAGCTCCAGTGGTGTAGATGGTAAAACACGTGCCATAGTCTTTTTGGCTTTGTTGTCGCAATAAGGTGGCATCCATTTAATAATTTGAATTCAAATGATAATTTACACTCAATACGTTATTATTTCATATTGTTTTATAATGTGCTACAATACTGAGGGGCAGATAATTGCCATTATTTGCAATAAGTAGTATAATAAGCAGAAAATCCTGCTATTGTGACAGTGTAAATAGAATCTTACAGCGCAAAAATACTATAACTCCAATAAAAATGTAATACATTGAAACTATATAACAGAAAAATTAAACAACAAAAAAAATTTAAAATGTAAAACTATAATCAACCTATAATTAAGGTTGCTAATAATTTCATTAAATTGAAATGATAAAACACAAAAAATAAACTACAACTACATGAAAATAGAGTGGAAACAACAAAAAAGACTGAAAATAAAATACAAACTAATTCAAAATTGAATACTATAATACACCTCTAATTAGGGCTGTTGATCTATAAATGTTTCATGAAATAAATTACTAACTAAAACACTGAAGAAAAATAAAACTACTATAAAACTAATAGTCATTGAGTGAAAACAAAAACAAGACAGAAAAAAGTAATTCGAAATTTAAAACTATATTAGACCTACAATTATGGCTGTTTATCTTTTATGAAATTAATTAAATGATTTACCAATTAATTATGTTACACCATGACGTTACATGATATACCAATGAATTGATTATTTGAAATAAATAATTAAACCGCATATACCAATATTTGCTGTGAAAAATTTATTCTTAATACAGCAAAATATTACATTTCTACTAAATGAACATGTAATTGACACCTCTGCTCACAATGCCCCTGAAAATATAAATACTAATTCCAAATATTATACGAATTTGGATTTTCAAGAATAACTGGTAATTCAGCTGAATCGACTAAAAACCGCAAATGAATGAAACAACAAACACAGTGTGTTAACTCGAGTTACTGGTATCAGCCTGATGATCGTCGCACCCCTAAAAGCGACCAAACCGAAACCATGACCACCACAAAACTTGATATAAACCCAACTGTGAGAAATTTGCACTGTTAAACCCCATAATGACTTGCACTTTTACAGTAAATACACACCAGTATACAGTCGACGATCTAGACTCAACCTCATATTGATCATGTTGCAAAACCTCAAAACACAGACAGGACGAGGTTTTACAAAACTGCCTGGGGGGCAAGCCACTGCTACAGGGGGGTCTCCACTGTGACACAGCAGACAAAAATAAAATGAAACAAGACAAAAGAGCATCTGCAAAGGCATGTATGCTGGGAATCCTGACCAAAGGGCTGGGCTAGGCTCTCTTTGCTCAAACAGACAACATCATAGAGCAGTTAACGACAAATTCTGCCATCCACCCTGCAATTTAGTGTACAAAAATGGCTGAGGTTTATTTTCTTTCTTTTCCTGCCAGCGGGATATGCAAACATTTTCGCAACGACCAAGCTCTCAGAAGAAAAGGAGGGGAAAAAAAAAAAGAGAGTGAGAATGCAAATCCAGCTATGGAGACTCATGTCCAGCTTAAATAGTTGACCATCGCTCAAAAACTCAAAAAGCACAGAGAGAAAGTGGCCACACAGACTGTGTGTTCAGTATCTGTTATTAAGTTGAAACTAGAGGTAAGACTGTGGTTATACTGTGCAAGCTGCCATACGCCACAAAATCAGTAGACAAACCAGTGAAAGATGGCTCCTGCTCCCAAACATCAGCAGTGGAGGTGTACAGTCCAATTCCGCTGTCTATCTGTTTTCAATTTGTAATCAAAATGTTCCCTCTTAGAGAAAAATCAACTTCTGGAAATTTTTGGAAATGCAAACCGCTGGGCATTACTGAGGCTTACAAAAACAATAAAACCGCTTGACTGATTCGTTGAAAAAAGCCTCAAACGGTCAGCCAAATGATTGTCTGATGTATCCCCAAAATAGCAAAGGCTTGACAAAATGACAAGTCACAATCTGATTGGTTTACGCAAATTTCAGGTTTTTAAATCGCTGTCCCACTGAGAAACAGATGCTGATTTAGACAAACAGCTTTTCAATTAACTGAATTGTATAAAATGATATGAATAAACACAAAATTAAAAAAATATATATGTTATGCGTTACGTGTAATAAAATATTAAGTATAGAGGACTCATATTTTCAACAGAGGCGAAGGTTTAAGATGGTTTTTCAAGTAAAAAATAAATAAATAAAAATAAAAAGATAGATTTGTTTCTTACAGACAAGCAGCTTTTTGCTTCACAAGACATTATTTAATAGACTGGAGACGTGGATTATTTGTGGATTACTGTAATGTTTTTATCAGCTGTTCGGACTCTCATTCTGACGGCACCCATTCATTTTTCCAAATCTGTTCAGATGAAAAAACAAACTTCATCTAAATCTTTGATGGTTTGAGTACATTTTTCATATATTTTCATTTTTGGGTGAAGTATTCCTTTCATGCTAATAGTCAAAACCTTGCTATGTAAGACAAGTTGAAAGGTGGTTCTAAACACACACAATTAGAAGTCAAATTTAGAAATATATAAAGGATACAACAGCAGGATAAGGCGCTGTATGCCTCAAACAGTTGAGTAGCAATGTCAATTCTTTTACTCTCCACTGTCTGCTGGTTGTTGCACAGAGCCAGTTTGTGCAAATGAGGAAGAACAACTGTGGGAAAAAAAACAGACAGAGAACAGGACATGAAAGAAACAGAAAATACTTCTGCCACAGTATAATGTATGTGCACTAAAGGGCAAACACAGCCACAGAAGCATGACGGTACTGTTATCATCACATTACAACACGCTATGGTGTTTTTCCTCTGTGCAAACAGTGAAAAACTTTGCATATGCAAGTGAATACATCGTGATGACGCTCACATTCATCTCTGAAGCGTGGCTCTGCGTTGGGTCCTACTCTGGCAGCCAAACATGCCACGGGCCACATGGATGGACAAATGGGCTGAATGAAGGGATGAATGGATGAATGGATTGTGGAAAGCAGGCAGCTTCTCCAAGCATGCGGCGATTAGTGTAGCCTGAATGAAGGATGTTAGTACACTGAGCACGTGAGACATAAACAAAATAAGCACGGTCTCTCAAGCCTTGGTTTCATCAGGAGAGCCAGAAATACACTTTCGCACTGACATAACATTAGCATGAATTACAAATGATTTACATACAAGGCATAATTCTATCAACCGGAATGATGGTTAACAATGGTATATTTAAAAAATAAATATGTATATATAGGGGCATATTTCAACCTCAAAATAAGAGAATAAAATAAAAATAATAAAAAAACTATATACATTTTTATAATAAAAAAGCCTATTTTAGATTTATTTTGCATTATTGATATTTTTGTATCAATTAAGCACATTTAACCCTCTGTTGGTTAGAAGCTTATTATAATGCAAATAAAAATGCATACAAAAATGATATATAAATAATGCCAGGGCCATATTCCAGACTCAAAATAAAATAAAAATAAAGTAAAGAAAATTTAATTCATTTTTTGGCATTATGAGACTATTTTCATAGCAATTAAGCACAGTTAACCTTCTGGATGTCAGAAGCCTATTTTAATGCAAAATAAATAAATAAATAAATACATTACATTTTTCATCTACATTTTTATGTATAAATCATGGTAGGATTATTTATATATTGTATTTTTGTTGTTTAAAAAAAAGTCCAAAGAGGTTTGCTTTCATTAAAGGGTTAGTTCACCCAAAAATGAAAATTAGGCTGCATTTTACTCACTCCTGACCGAGGCATCCCAGGTGTATATGACTTTCTTCTTTCAGACGAATCTAGTCGGAGTTATATTAAAAATTGTCTTTGATCTTTCAAGCTCTATCATTGCAGTCAGCGGGTGTTGCATTGCTTCAGTCCAAAAGAAGTTAAATAAAAAGCGTGAACAAAGCAGGGGGTGAACAAAGGCCTTCTGTAGCGAATCGATGCGTTTTTTAAAGTGCTAGATTAAAGTGATTATTACGTTTTGAATATGGATATTTTTCTTACAAAAACGCATAGATTCGCTACAGGTGGCCTTTGTTCAGCCCCCGGAGCTGTGTGAGACACTTTTTTTTATGGATGGGTGCTTTTTATTTAATAACATCTGCTGAGTGGCATTAAACAGCTTGAAAAATCAAAGACAATTTTTAATATAACTCCGACAGGATTCGTATGAAAGAAGAAAGTCATATACACCTAGGATG